GTCTCCAATGGTTCCTCACCTCCTTTCCTCTCTGTCTCCAATGGCTCCTCACCTCCTTTCCTCTCTGTCTCCAATGGTTCCTCACCTTCCTTTCTCTCTACCACCAGTGGTTCTTCAGCTGCTGTCTTCTCTTCCCCTGGCTGTACCTCCCCTCCTTTCTTCTCTTCACCCAATACATCCTCGACTTCTTTCTTCTTTTCCTCAGCTCTCTTCTCTGTCCCTAGTTGTTCTTCTCCTCCTTCCATTTCTCTTCCCAAAGTATCCTCAGCTCTCCTCTCTGTCCCTTGCTGCTCCCCACTTCCTTCCCTCTGTATCTTCAATGAGCCTTCACCTTCTGTCCCTTGCTGTCCCTCACCTCCTTTTGTCTCTACTCCGGGGGGTTCCTCAGCCCCTCCCCTCTCTGTTGCCGGCTTTTCCTCATCCCCTTTTCTTTTCTTCTCGTCCCCCAGTGAGTCTTCTACTCGAATCCTCTCCACCTTCCAGTTTTCCTCACTTCTTCTCTTGTCTGTCCCCAGTAGGCCCTTACCTCCCTCCCTTGTCATTGGCCCCAACCCCTCCACCTGCAGCTCCTCCCATTCCTCACTGAGAGCCACTCTCTCCACCCAAATGAAAGACCCCTCTTCACCACCAGAGCTCCCCTGCCCATTGCCATCAGGGCTGCCCTCATGAGCACCTTCCTCTTTTCTAGAAGCTGCTTCTTGCAGCTCTTCCGGGACCCTTAGTGAGCTCCGCTGTGCAGCCTCCCGACCCCTGCCTCCTTCCTCTATGCCCTCTAAATCCCTACCTTCTGTGTCCCCCACCCCTTCCCAGACCACCTCCACAACGTCTCTGTCCTCCTTCACCCAGGACGGGAGCTCAGGGCTGCCAGCCACCTGTCTGTCCCCAATGGCCTCCAGCACGACTTCCTCCACCTTAGCTTCCAGCTCTGGGCCTGTGGCCTCCATGGCACAGGGCTGTGTGGCCCTCAGCCCCTCCCATACCACCTTCACCACACCCCCTGCTTTAGCGGGGCCCACCCCCCTCTCTGCTACTGTTGCTCCTTTATTCAGCTCCAGATGAGGACTGGGCTCAGAGCAGGGACCATTGGTTTCTGAGGAGGTTCCTGTGGAGACTGGCAAAACCCCGATCACCTCCTTCCTGGACTCGGATGGGGACTCCAGGGACATGCCTGCTGGTCCAGGTGGTAAGGAGGCTCTCTTGTCTAGATCTGCCAGGTCTGAGCAATCAGGGAGGAAATGAAAGGAGAGAAAGGGCCCAAGAGTGAGCAGGAACCCAGGGGTCCCTACCCTCACTCCTATTTGGCCACCCAATCTGTACACCCACCTGCAGGACCTGCCTCCACAGTGGGCTGGGAGAGTGGACGATGACCCTGCAGGAAAGGTAGAAACAAGGTCAGGCCCAGCCCTCAACCCCACCCTCAGCCTCCTTGCATGCCCATATGCCCCTGCTCTGGTGTCCTCACTGGCTCCCAAGTACTTGTGACCCTCTGTGCTCATGTTCATGCACACTAAGAATGCAATCAATCCTGTGGTTATTCAGCTAAGCCCTCTATGTTGGGGGCCTACTCCATCAGGTACAGAGGTCCCATGCTCCTTTTGTTCGTGGAGCATACACTCCAGTAGGGGAGACAGGTCATGAACATAAACACAAATGTACAATCAGGGTGTGAGAAAGACGAGGAGAAAAAAGCTATATAGCAAGGTGAGAGGCTAAGGGGTGCCTGGGAGGTGAAGGGGGTGCCTTCTTTAGATATAAGATACAGCAAACTGCTCTGAGGAGATGATACTGAACAGAGGTGAGGAAGGGCATTCTAGATGGAGGGAATAGCCAATGCAAAGGCCCTGAGGCCAGAATGAGTTAGGCATGTTCAAGGAAAAGTGGGTCAGTGTGGCTAGAGTGCAAGAGGAATATGAGCTCAGGGAAGGGAACAGGGGACTGCCACACAGAGTGTCCAGGCATAGTCCCACCTCTCCTCTCACAGGTCTCACCAATCCTGCCCTCCGCTCTCTAGCCTCTGTCCACTGCCTGGAAGACTCTATCGCCTCTTGCCTGGTCCCTACCAGGATTCAGCTTAGAGATCACCACCAGCTCCAGGAACTCTTCCTTGAACCCCTCAACCTCACTCTGATACTTTCTCTGTGCTCCTCCATCAACGCACTCTTTAATGAGCAGCTAGGGCTGAGCGCTGTAAGACAAGTGTTGGGCTGCTAACAACAAGGTCAGCAGTTCAAACCCGCCAGCTACTCCCTGGGAGAAAGATGAGGTTTTCTTCTCCTGTACAGATTTACAGCCCCAGGAACTCTCTACAAGGTGGCTATGAGTCAGAACAGACTGGATGGTACCTAACAATAACAACAGGGCTGAGAAGCATGCCTTAAGCCCATGTAATGATGAATGCCTGGCTTACACTCAAAACCCAACAAATGCTTCCCACCCCAATAAGTGGGCCCCTCACCTCTGTCTTCCTACAGGCATATGGGAGCTAAGGTAGGACACTAGGGAGAGGTGGAAACTATGGAAAACCTACATCTTGTAAATGTCATCAGAGAGTCAGATTTTTAACATGAAGCATCCTGATTTTCAAAGTCCTATGTATTATATGATATGCGAATGAATTTTTATATGCCTTCCTTTCTCCCAAAAACAAAGAGAAAAGCTCACATGGATGCACCAAACAGCAAAATATCCTATGGTGATCCTTCCCCACCTCCAAGGCTGAGTCTCATGACCTTTCACCCACAGCTTCTCACACAGTTTTCTTTTGGGCCACATTAGCTACCTTTTATCAAAACTCCCCCCACATGCTCACTGACCCTCCCAGCAATTCTTTGAGGTGTATGCTGTTCCTATTCCCAGAATTTAAGAGATGAGGGATCTAAGTCACTGACAGGGGACAAAATTTACCCAAGATCACAGAACATACAAGCAGCAGAGGGTGGTTCTGAATCCCGATCTCGTGGAAAAGTTGGGCAAGGAAGGGTCCTGCCTTTGGTCATACTGATCATGCCTCCTCCCCAGCCCTCCTCCTGCCCCTCACCTGTCTGCGCCAGGTGGGCCTGCCCAATGGCTTGTGCTGGGCACCTGTGGATGCACTTTGCAACAGCTGCAGCTCGGACTGGAGTCTAGGAAAGAGAGGGGGCTGCTGGGAGCCAGGCCCCCAGGCTCAATTTGCCACCTCCCCAGAGTGGGCCCCCACGGTCCTGGCAGAACCAGGTGGGGCATGGCCAGCAGGCAGGGTTCCACTCACGTGAACAGACTGTCTTCCAGGTTCTGGATACGAGCCTGCGCCTGGTCCTCCGGTGACTGGCGGTCCTGTGAGGCAGGATCTTTGGGCCAGTCTGGTCCCTCTGATGCTCCATCCATCAGCCAGCGTTCCCGGAGAGACTTCCTCTGGGTGTGGGAAGGAAGCCAGGGCAGGGTATGAGGGTGTGAGGATCCTGCCAGGAACACACACAACCTCCCAGATCGTACAGACACCCGTTTCTCCCTCAGGATGGGATACATGCCTTGACTGTCCTCAGTCACACACAGGGACTGTAACACTGCCAGGGAGACTGACACCCCAAACCTTCCCAGGCTAGAACATACCCATCATCCTCCAACCTTCTAGGCTGGGACAGACACCCATCACCCCCACATCCCTCTCAGACTGAGGCAGACAGACCATCACCACCATAGCCCTCCAAAAGTAATACAGACACCCCAGTGCCCCACATTCCTCCCAGGCTGGGGCAGACACCCCATAACCCCCAAAGTCCTCCCAGACTGACACAGACACCCCACTGCTCCCCAAAGTCCTTCCCGATGGGACAGACATTCTACCACCCCTACAGTCCTCCCAGATGGGGGAGATATCCCATCCCCTACTGTAGTCCTCCCATGCAGGGACAGACACCCCAAAGGTGAAATCAATGTCCCCCTCCTCCGAAAGCTGGACTGAAGCTTCTTTCATGCCCCAGTAATTGGGACAGACACTTCCATTGTCCCCATCCTCTTCCCAAAGGCGTAACAAATGCCCTTCCAAGCCCCCTCCCCCCAGCTTGGACAGAAGTCCCCAGAAGCTACGATGAATGTCTCCAGGCTCCGAGATTGGACGGAGGTTTCTAGCGTCTCTCCACCCGACTCTCATAGTCACCCCACTTAATTTCCCGGCCTGGGCAGTAAACGTCCCAACCTTGAGCCGCTCCACGCGGAGTTTCTCCTCCTCCAGTTCCAAGCGCGCAGCGCGAATCTCCTCCTGCAGCCGCCGTTTCTCCTGCACACAGCAGAGGGAGTTGCCCGCTGGCCAGCTAGAGATCGAAACCGACCCGCCTCCCCCCTGCGGAGCACCCCGTGGCTCTCAAGCGGTGGGCCGGGAGGGGAGGGGGGGCGCACGTCGGTCTGGGAGGGGGCTGCGGCGGCGCTGACTCAGCAGCCGGCGAGGCGAGACGAGGCGAGGCGGGGCGGGGCGGGACAGCGGGGGCGGGGCCGGCCGCACCCGAGATGCTGCGGAGGCCGCGCCCACGCGCCGTGGGGGTCTGTGGCTGGGGGATCCTGGAATGGAGGCTCTAAGAGGGTGTCAGAGCTGCAGGATCTCGGAGATGGGGTTAATGAGTCGGAGCGAGTCCAAGATCGGGTCCAATGATGGGGAGTCCAAAGAGACTGGGGTCCATGAGGGGTTCAAAGTCAGGGGTGCAGAGTTAGAGTCCAGAAAGACGGGGGGGGGGGGGGGGGGGAAGGGTGCAGACATGGAGGCTGTCAGAGAGATGGGGGTTATCGAGATGAGAGATCAGAAATGGGGGTGTCCAGATAGATGAGGGTCCAGAGAAGAGGGTTGTAAGAGTGGGGGTTAATTAAATATGCGGTCAGAGATAGGGTGCATCAGTCAGGGTCCAGAGAGTTGAAGCCAATGGAGATACGGGTGCAGAAATCAGGGTCTGAAATGGGATCGTAAATAGGGGGGCGTTAATGAACTAGGGAACAGAGTCACGGGTGCAGAGATGGGGTCTGAGTAAGGAGGGGAAGGACATACAACATCCGAGAGACGGGGTCAGAGATGGAGGTTAATGAAAATGAGTTAAAACATGAGACCTACAGGAAAGAGATTTGAGAGGTGGGGGTCTGATAAACAAGGGGATCAGAGCGATGGATGGGGTATTTGAGAGGCCGGGGCTCAGGAGTAAATTAGCGCAGGTTCTGGGAGTGATGGGTCAGCAGCCCTACCATTCTGAATGGGCAGGGCAGGGCAGGTGTAGTGGTGACCCAGACTGAAGAACTGAGGAGCAAGGGGGCCTGAGGATTTGGGTGGGGTGCCCGAGAAAGCGGGTGGAGCAAGATTGAGGGTGCCCAGGGTGGGGGCGTGTGCTCTGAGAGAGCTTCACTTACGGCGATGACCTCTAGCCGCTGCCGATAGAGGGAGCTCTCCGCCATGGGTCTGTGGGAAGAGGGCAGGGACTGAAACGGGGAGCGGTTCCAGAGCCTCCACCTCTTAGGAAGGCGGCCTCTTGAACGCCTCCCTGCTCCCGCCGCCCAAATCCCTCAACTGCTAGCAAAACGACCACAGCCAGCCCTTTACCAGTTTCCCCTCTGCACCCTGAGGAGTCGGCAGTGGACGAAGGTCCTATAAGGGGAGCAAGCAGAGATTATTAAAGAGTGAGCCAAAACTCGAACTCCAGTTTAGCGACGACTGTGAGGTTGGCCCAGGACCGGGCAGTGTTTCGTTCTGTTGTGCATAGGGTCTCTATGAGTCGATACCGACTTGAAGTCACCTAACAACAACAAAGCCCTTTCCAGTCCTAACAGCACTCCGCTGAGTCTCAGAGTCCCCATCTGTAAAATGGAGGGCTCATCTCGGAGGGCTGTTGTAAAGAAGTATCCATATAAGGCTTAGGACACACTGTCAGCGAGTGGATTCAGACTCATATCGATCCTATAGAACAGAATAGAACGCTCCTTAAGCTTTCTGAGACTCAATTTTTCGGGAGCAGACAGCCTCATCTTAGCTCAACGCCTAACCCTACAGCACAAGCGGGACTTCTTAGGACGTTGTTGTTGTTAAGTACCGTGGAGTCAATACCGACTCATAGTGACTCTGCATAGAGTTTGCAATGAGTGGCTGGTGAGTTTGAACTGCCAACCTTGGAGTTCAAACTGACCTTGCAGTCCAGTGCTTATCCTACAGTGCCATACCAGGAATCCTTAGGACATACGGTTATTGTTGTGGTCCAGACTCATAGTGACCCTGTATAAGGTTTCCAAGCAGAGGCTGATGAATTTGAACCCCCAACCTTATGGTTCAAACCGACCTTGAGGTCCCGTGGTTTAGCTCACAGCGACACACCAGAACTCCCCTTAGGGCATGATGTTAAGTGCCATCCAGTTGGTACTGACTCATAGAGACCCTATGTACAATAGAACGAAACACTGCCCAATCCTGGACCAACCTCACAATTGTTGCCACGACATTGGTTGGCTGTTGGTTGTTATGTGCCATGGAGTTGGTTTCGACTTTTAGTGACATTGCATAGGGTTTCTGAAGCTGTAAATCTTTACGGGAGCAGAAAGCCTCATCTTTCTCCCGTGGTTTCGAATTGTTGATGGTGAGATTAGCAGCTAGATTCGTAAATTACTACTAATAATTCTAATAATGCTCATTATTAATAAGGAGCTCTGGTCGCATAGTAGTTATGAATCAGAGCGCGAGCCTCAAGGTCAACAGTTCGAAAGTACCACCTGTTCCACGGGAAAAAGAAGAGGCTTTCTGCTCCTGTAAAGATTTACAGCCTCGGAAACCCTGTACAGGGTCACTATGAGTTAGAACCGACTCCACGGCACATAACCACCACCACCATTGTCAATTAGAGTAACCATTGTTAGTCTATCCGACTGGAACCCTTGAGTCCTGCCATACCTCTAAAATGCTGTGTGTCTCTGACCAGCTCTACACCCTCTCTGGTCCGTTCCTCCTACTCAGGATCAAGTGCCAGGGGGTGAGGAGTCTGGGGAGAGCTGAGTTCATCCTGCTATGGGCACATGCCATTGCTATGGTAACTCCTCCAACTGCCAATCCTTCTTGGGAGGGGGCGGGGGCAAGGGCCACTGGGTCACACTACCTAGATCTGGACTCTGAGCTGGGAGCTGGGAGAGTGATCTGCTGTTTAAGGTTTAACCTGAGATTCCTTTCTCATTGCCCCTCCTCTCAGCGCTCTAACTCCCTGCCCCAACCCCATGTCAGCTGCCCTGGAAGCAAGAGGTTGACTGTCATCATGCATCCCACGATATGCAGGTGCTTTGCAGTCTAGAAGGTGGGGACCTGGGTTGTACAGAGTAACACTCAGGCATTTCTGGATTTGAACAGTCCTGTTAGTGAGCATCAGCCCCACAGACTGACTCCAGATGGGGTCGCCAGATCTTTCAAGGTCACATCATGAAGCGAACAGTTGTTGAAAGAAAACCCATTGCTATTTAGTTGATTCTGACTCCTAGTGACCCGAAACCAACAGAGCAGAATAGGACTGCCTTATGGGACCTCCAAGGCCGTCATCTTTATGGAAGCAGACTCATATCCTTCTCCCTTAGAGTGGCTGTTGGGTTTGAACTGATGACCTTTCATTTAGGTGCTAGATGTTTAACCAGGGCCCTTATTCAGCACTTCCTGTACATATATTGTCCCAAGTGCTGGAGGACACTTTCTCGGGTGCCCACAGCCACCCTGCCCTGATCATGATACACTCTAGCTGACTAGTTACTGAGTTGACTTTCCAGCCAACAATAAAATTAGCCAGCTCTTAGTAGGTGGGTACCACGTGCCAAGCACTGCTGTAAAGGCTTTAACATAGAGTAACTCATTTCATCTTACCAACAATTCTAGGAACCAAATGGTATTCCTGCCCCCATTTTACAGATGGGGAAACTGAAGCTCTGAAAAGTCCGAGGTCACTGGGTCACGAAAAGAACTCAAGGCTCTCAGATTCAAACCACTAGAACACAATGGGGGGTGGTTAGGAACCCCCATCTTGATCAATAGCCCCAAGGCCTAGAGGTCCGGGGTTTCAGCTGGGGCAGTTCAAACTGAAGTTGTATTTTACAGTCTCTCAAAGAAATCCCAGACGCCCTCCTCATTTCTAGGTTTGCCCCTGTGGGACAACTGAAGGCCCCCTCCACTTTGCGATCCTACCCCCAAGATGTAATCTCCCTGCCTCTGCCTTGCTGGAGGGGAGCGGTGGGGGGGAGGGGGGGAAGGGGATCGGGTTCCCATTGCTAGGCAACCAGGTTTGTAGTTGGTGAATAATGCAATGGGGGACCCAGAAGGGCAAGAAACTGAATTGGGGTTCCTGAGGAGAGCCCCTTCCCCGGAATCTTTACAAACCTTTAGAGCCCCTCCACATATTTGTTTTAAAAGACTCTCAGACGTGAAATACTAAAATCCCCCCTCACACAATTTGATGCTTCTCATATTTAACTACAAAAGCAGGGTTCATGGCCCGTTGCCACCAAAAATGTTTGGTGGCCATTTTCATGCAACGGGTTCTAGTTTCCATTTTGCCATCGTCTTTCCTAGTTTAGGGGCTATTGGCTTCTGCAAGGTCTCAAACATTTCCTCCCACCCTGGATACTGAAGGGGTAATTCTAGAGGCTGAATGGAGGAGCTGAGACCCTGGCACCCCTTACCCTCAGTCATAGCCCCACCCCCCCAGGCTGGACTTTGGGCTTTCAGCCTGCCGGAGGAAAATCCCCATAGAAAAAGGGGGCGTGGAAGGGGTCCACATTTCCCACTGCCTCCCTGAAGCAGGAGGAACAGTGAAGAGCCCCTTGGGTTGGCTGCCGACTTTCTCCACCCTCCTTAGTTCTCTCAGGAGAGACCAACTGGGGTTCTCCGTCCCAGAGCAAAGCCAGTGTTCCCCATGACCTTTCCAGGCCAAGTCCACTGTGCCCACCTCCCCCTTAGACACTTACGTGGGTGTGGCAGAAGAGCACACCTGGCTCTGCAGGGCCATCTCTGCCCTAAGCCCACTCGTGATCTCTGAGTTTAGGACCCGCTTGCCTGAAGGTGCCCTGGAGGCTGTGACTTGGCAGGCAGGAGGGGGGCTGCTGGCGGGCGGTACCGGGAGAGCTGGTCCATCTGGTTTGGGCCTGGAGGGAGGCGGGAGCAGTCCAGTGAGGGGGGCCAGGGGCTGGCGGGCAGTTCTGGGGAGGTACTATCAGCTGTCCTGATCAATTATTTACTAACCACTGGCCTCCTGGCCCTCTCCCTGCAGCATGCCTCCCTGCAAGTACGCTCTCACAGGTGTGGTGGTCAAGCATGCTAGGAAAGAGGGCCGGTCACTGACCCCCTCCCTGAGAGCTGCACCTCCACTTGGCACCCCAGACATCTGGAATTCAACTGCCCCCCCCAAAAAAATTATTTCCCACATGTGTACATACTAAAGCCTTCCCTACTGGGACCTTGGCTCTGGTGTGGGGGAGGGGGAGGGACTGATCCAGCCAGAGGATTCTGGAGTCCAGGGACTAGGCATTATGGGAACCAGGAGATCTTGACCCTGGGAATTATGGGCAACTTGTCTTATGTCTCTAAACCTTGGTTTCCCTTTCTGTGAATTGAGTGAATTAGACCAAGTGGCATGCAGGACCTTGGACACACCCCAGATGCACTATACTTAAGTGAGAAAGGCCCAGGGAATCTTCAATTCAATCTTGAAGGTCCCTGCTTTACCCTCCACCACATTCTGAATGTAGAAGAACTGAGGCATTTGAGTTATGGTGTTGGAGGAGAATATTAAAAGTTCCATGGACTGCCGAAAGAACCAACAGATCTGTGTGGAAAGAAGTGCAGCCAGAGTGCTCCTTGGAGGCCAGGATGGCCAAACTTTGTCTCTCATACTTCAGACATATTGTGGAGAAAGATATTATCCTTGGTAAAGTGGAGGGTCAGTAAAAATAAAAAAGGAAGACCCCCAATGAGATGGACTGGCACAGTGGCAGCAGCAATGGGCTCAAGCATACCAAGGATTGTGAGGTTGGTACAGGACTGGGCAGTGTTTGGTTCTATTGTGCATAAGGTTGTTATGAGTTGGTACTGACTTGATGGCACCTAACGACAACAGCGTGTTCTTAAAGAGCAAGCACATCCTTCCTCAGCTAACTCAACAGTGTATTCAGTCACGCCCCGGGGCAGTTATCTAGTCTCCAGGCTGGGACAGGGGCCCCTCTGGTCTCCTGCAGCTCCCCCTCCCCCCCCACCCCCGTCACAGCTCTGGTCACACTGTGCAATTGGATCTTAGCCCCGAAGAGAAGGACACTTACTCAGAAGCCTGCTCTCTAAGGTACTTTAGAGGACACCATTAGCTGTGACTCTCCCCAGGGGGCTAAGGGAGATGCCTACCTAAATCCTACATTTTCCTCTCCTAGATCATACTCTGGGTCCTTGGGAA